AGCAGCCTGGTGGTCTCCTCCACACCAGCAGTCACCACGGCAAAGCACTCCTGCAGCAGAAGAGGAGGGGACCCTCTGTGTCGCTCTGTTCCCATCCCCACTATCAGCACCCTGGATGAAGTGCTGTGTCTGAGTGAGCAGTGGGGCAGCCAGGGGCTAGTTCTAGGGAGCACAGCCATAAGGAACCCCATGCTTTGGAGTGCATAATGGGTGAGAACAGGTGCACGTCTGCATATCTCAGAAGACTCAGAGATGGGGAGTATAGGAACAGCTCAGCGTACACAAGGGGCGGGAAGAACACTGCCATGAGGCAGGGACAAGGATGACATGGGCTTCTTACTTTGTCCAAGTATTTGGGCAGCACTTCGTCCATGAGTTTCTCACTGTTCTTGGTCAGCTCTGAGGGTTTGATGATGGCACAGTTACCTGGGGGGAGATTCAACCAACAATGTGTTCCCCAGCCCTGGCATGTGCTGCCCACATCCTGTAAGCAAGGGACGGGCTCAGCCTCACCAGCAGCGATGGCCCCAATGAGGGGCACCAGGAGGAGGTAGATGGGGTAGTTCCAGGGCCCAATGATGAGCACTACCCCATAGGGGTCCTTGCGGATGAAAGCCAAGTCCAGCTGCGTCACCTACAGGAGCACATTGGTGTGGGTCAGATTCCACCTGAACAGCCCTCTTCATGCTCTGGGCTTTCCAGCAGCCCACGCTGGCAAGGTCCTTTTCTCCCTTACCAGGTTCTTGTCCACATGCTTGTCCTTCATCCACCGGGACAGGTTGTTCAGGGCTTCATTGAGCTCGTTCTTGCACAGAAGGACCTCAGAGAACTCAGCCTCGAAGGGTGGCTGGGGGTGCAGAGCACTGTGCCCATCACTGCTTCCATGCTTTCCTGCATCTCTCACACCCATCTCAAGGGGCTTTAACACTGCTATGGGTACCCTGCCAAGCCTCAAGGGGAGCAACAGCAGCGAAGCAAAAGCTTTGAGATATCTTCAGAGGAGGCTGTGGAGCGGAGCCTGAGGAGATGGGGCTGTCCAGAAGGAGCAGGGATTTGGAGAATCCCTAGACCCCAGGAGGTGCACAGCTCCAGGACATTCCAAGGACACTAAGTGGGGAGGGTATTTGCAAGTATCATGTGGATTTGCCAACTGCTGAGCATTGTTTGGAGAGACGGGGCTGAGCAGATCTTTGGTCACGCTCCACCCATCGTACCTGTGTCCTTACAGCCATGTGCCTTTACCTAGCTGCTGCCATCAGTGGTGTTTTGGAGACAACCATCAGCAAGTCGCTGCTAATCCAGTCTTGGGCTCCTCAGCAGTGCTTCCCCATTTCAAGCACTTCTCTTATGTACAAGACCCTCCCAAGTCCCTGGGGTCCCACAGCAGCCATGGGAAAGGGGTGAAATGAAGCACCACTCTGCATCACCTTCCAGCACAAGAGCTGGTGTTTACAAATGAGAAAAGGCTGCAAGGATGGGCAGTTGTCCAAGGGGAGGTTCTGAACTGAGGTGGGGAAAAGAAGATGATGAACCCTATATAGCGCTCATGGTGCAGGTGAATGAGCTGTCCCGAAGTGGGGAGGTTCAGGCTGGGGGTCTGGAGCACAAGGACTGGGTCTGCTCTGCCCCATTGCTCCTGCTGGGAGCACCAGGGAGGAAGCAGAGGCTGGGGAGGCAGTGGTGCCAGGGATACAGTCAGGATGGGGTGCATTTGGGTGTGAGGGCTTGACCAAGCACCAAGCAAGGTGGGGATTGGTTTCAGAGGGAGAGAGCAGGGAGAAAATGATGGGAGCAAGGGATGGATAAATATGTCCAAGTGTTTCCCATGACCCCAGCCATTCTTTGCAGGCAGAGGCTCTGGGGACAAGGGTTGGCAGTGTCCCCTCCATGTTCGCTGGACTCCTGCAGCCCCCATGGGCTGCTCCTGATAGAGACGGGGTATGGTTTTCTCCTTACTGCCTCTATGTACACCCATGGGCTCCATGCCCAGGGCAGAGCTCCCCAGCCCTGCCAACCCCTGGATCCTCCAGTGCCCAGCCCTGGGGGCCTTACCTTGCGCATGTCCAAGGCGGCGGCCTCCAGGATGTCCTGCTTCTTCTCCTCCAGGAATCGGCCCAGGGCCTCCAGCTGTGCCATGCGGTACTCCAAGGAGCGTGTCCTCCCTGAGAGCCAGGCTGCCCGCAGTTGGCTCACCAGCCCCGCATAGGGGTTCTCACTGCAGGGATGGGGGCATCAGGGAGACCCCATCACAGCCCCCTTTGGGTGCCAAGGCACAGGGGCTCTGCATTGCCCCAGCACAACCCAGCACCTTGCAGCATCAAGCTGGGGTGGCCAGGCTGTCTGGGCGCCTCCTGCCTCCCTTCCAGCCCGGCTGCTTGTCGCCATCCCTTTGCTCTCACCTCATGCTACCGTCATCCCCACCAGCTGTGCCAGCCTCACCATCCGTGGGCTGCCCGGGATGCTCAAGAGGCTGCTCCATGCCAAGCTGCGTTCAGGAACCAACAGCTTCAGGGAGCAACGAGGAGGAGCACGGGGCTGCACAGTACACCTTCCACAGCTGTTTGGCCTGATGGGAGCCTTACCCAGAAGGGGTGGCTTTGGGGAGCCTGCTTAGCACCCCAACACTGCAGCTGTGTTGCTGCTGAGCACACGCTGCGTCTCTCTCTGCAGCAGGGACTCCACCGCCAGCTTCCTGCCCTTCCCCTCAGCTCCTTGCGTCACTGCTGGCTGTGCTCCAGCCCAAACCACTCAAGATGCAGGACAGAGAGCGGTAACCTTAAAGCTGTGCCCCTGGCACCACGGCACCAAGAACAGCCCTGCCCTGCCTCTCGGGTCCGGCCCTGGCGTGGGGCCTCAGCCCAATGTCCCTGCAGCTCCTCTAGCTGCCCCCACGGCTGTATCACAAGTGAGGGCCCCCTGCCCATGATGGGATGGCCTGATGGGGAATGAGGGTGTCCAGGTATGGTGCAGGGATGCAGGATTAAGCTGTGAAGGCAGTGGAGGGATGAAGTGAGGCCGCAGAGCTCAGTGCAAAGTCTTTACTGAGGGCAGAGTTATACACAGAGAAAAAAACAACAGCCAGTAGGAGAGTATCGGAAGGTCATCTAAACAGAAATGAGATAGGGCTAATTGCCAGTCCTGAGCAAGCAGGGCACTATTGCTCTACCAGGTGGGGTGAGAACAAGAAACCGTCATCATTTTAGATGTGTCACAGCACACAGCCCTGAGCACAGGAAGCTGGAGAGGAGCAGGCACACAGGAGGGGTCAGTTCCCACTGTCCAACATGCATCAGGGTGGTAGTGTGACACAAGACGTGGCACGGGTTGGGTCCTGGTCAGTCCGTATGTGGCACAGGGCCTTGCTCAGAGCAGGGTGCACATGCCCTTGCGCTTGATCTCAAAGGTGGCAGTCATCAGCCCCAGCTTCTGCTGGGTGTAGGGTGGGTAGCGCGGGGAGTTGATAGCCTCCAGGCCCATGTTGCGGTGCAGGCAGCCGCGGTGATGACTGAAGGTGTCAAAGGTGAACTTGCCATGGTATTTCCCCAGACCACTGTTTCCTGCAACAAACAGCACAGGTCCAGGCTTGCTATGGGACTCCTGCCCAGCTCAAGCACCATAAGCACAAGGGAAAGACACTCCTGGCTTTTCTCATGCCAACACAGCGGCCAACGCGGTGCAGCACCTTTTGCCCTTCCCCATTCCTTTTCCATCCCCACCAGGGCTCAGTCGCTCCGCACTAGCTGCTCCCTGCAGCTCACCATTGCTTGCTGCCCCAGCTGCAAACTTTTGACCAGTCTGTGCCTGCCTATGTGGTCACGAGCTCTTCAGAAAGCTTTGCTGGGCCGCATTTCCCCAGTTTCCCCCTTGATGTGGGGCCCTACCATATCTACCCATGGTCAGGAGCCACCAATCCATCTGGAACAAAGAGCTCCAGGAAGAAGCTCCTCGTAAAAATCAGAGGCCATTGGCCACGTTGGTTCCCAATTCCTGTGGCTGACTTAAGCTCGAGGTTTCACGTCATGGTTAATAGCTTTGGCAAATGTCATCTTGGCTCTGGTGAATTCAGGCCCTCCACCTGATAATTTGAGGCAGTTTCTCTGAATCATTTCCATAAAGATAAGTTACGACACAGGAACCACCACCAATTGTTCCTTGATCTGCAATCAGGCAAGGAATTAATTCTGCTTTGCTGTTGTGCTGCCTTATTATGGCTGAATCAGCTGGCAGCTCTGACGTGCTGAGCACGTGGAGTCTTTTTCCCAGAATAATCTCCACAATAGAGAAATTCCAGGGAAGAGACCACAGGATTGAGAAAGAACTCCGGGGAACAAACATCACAGTCATCCTGTATTTCAGTGCTCACCCCTGAGCATCTCATGGTAGACAGTGCTACAACCAGAGCTCAGCAGACCTTTTGTCAGATGAGAAAACAACTGCTATGTGCATATAAGCTCCTCGAAGGGCAAAAAACTGTTCCCCTTGACTGAGGAGGATCTTCCTATTACCACAAGCAAATTTCCCAAACATTTATAGATGTTTTCCTCCTAATATTTAGCCTTAAAATGCAGAATGAATGTACAAACTGCCTCCTGAGTGATGTTAAGAGCTGCAATCCAGCACCACGCTGCTGCAAGAGGAAAGCTCCCCTGCCTGAGAAGCACAATGCTATGGATCTGCTCCCAGACAAGGACAAGCAATGGACTGAGCAAAATCACCAGCATTTGAGGAGCATTCAGGTAAACCTCATGCTGGACAAAAGCCCAACCCTGGCACAGAATGTGGGCAACTCATTCTGCTCAGAAATACCAAGGAAATACCCAAGTGGTACAAACTTCCCTATATTTGATGAGGCATTTTTGCTGACACAGTGGACCACGGGGAGAAGAAAACCTGCAGTGCCCCGCATGCACTCAGCAGAAGCAGGGCTGCAAAGCCCCAGAGATCAGCCCGAGGGAGCTGAAGCCAAGGGTGCAGGTGGGACAAGCTTGGGGGCTTGGACCTACCGATACCACCGAAGGGCAGCGAGGTCAGCGTCACGTGCATCAGGGTGTCGTTGCCACAGAAGCCCCCGCTGCTCGTCCTCTCCAGCACTTGGTTCACCACCTGGAGGGAGCACAGAAGGGGACATGGTGCTGATGTCCCGCTGCCCCAGTTTCCCTCCTTCCCTTTTCTGCCCTGTGGACCACACGCACCTTGCTGTCGCAGGAGAAGGCGTAGATGGCCAATGGCCGGGGCCGTGCATTGATGAAGTCAATGGCTTCATCCATGTTGGCCACAACGACAATGGGCAGGATGGGTCCGAAGATCTCCTCCTGCATGGCGGGGTCAGAGGGCTGCACATCTGCCAGTACTGTGGGGGCTATGAAGAAGGAGAAAGGAAGCAAACAGCTCACTGCACAGGCATGGGTGCTCACATCAGCCCCGGCTTGCCAGGGACCTGCTGCTTCACAGGTTCCTTTCCCAAACAAAGCTCATAGAACCACAGAAACATAGTCACCAAATCGTAGAATATCCCAAGTTGGTTTGGAGCCTTCCACAATCTCCCTGTGTCTCTGTCTGTGGTCCCTGTGGTCATGGCTCTGCTTCCGTATCTCACATCCCCCTGCCAAGCACTTCCTTGCTCCCCACACGCCAAACCTCCTCCTCACCGATGTAGCGCTCCTTCTCGTCCGTCTGTCCCCCGATGGCCACACGCCCGCTGCGCAGCAGCGCCCGCACGCGCTGGAACTGCTTATCTCCCACAATGCGGGCAAAGTCAGGGGACTCCCGTGGGTTGGAACCAAAATATTCGGTGATGGCCTCACGCAGGGCAGGCATCAGCTTCTCCTGCATCTCCACGCTGCACAGGACGTAGTCGGG